CCTGGGCATGTGCCCTGACTGGGATTGAACTCGGGACCCTTCAGTCCGCAGGCTGACACTCTATCCATTGCGCCAAATCAGCTAGGGCTCCCCTGATGTCTTATTTTTGCCTCCTTCCCCTTTTCCATTGCTATCTGGGGGCAATGAAGCTAAGCTCCATCATTTTAAATGTACAGTTTTGACCCCCACATTTTCCCATGATGTCTTCTCAGACCAAGAGATTGTGAGGCATCTAAAGGCCAGCCTGGAAAGTTCCCATGCTGGCTGGCTGGAGTCATGGTGTCTGTGGGAAGGTGAGGTTGCAAAGCTCTTAAGGAACTTGGAAAAACTAGAGATGCTGTGACCGTCAGGGAGAAGAGATGGCCTCTCCATACCTAGCAGGGTTGGGGAGACTGGTCCTTTGAGCTGAAATTCAGCAAACTTCAATGAGGCTATCTGAAGTGATTGTCTAGGAAAACATTAGGGCTTAGCACTTTATTAAGCTTTTTCATGTTCTAATTTCTGACTGGTAGCCCTGTGTCATCATGGAGGGGCCGAGTCCCTCCTCATAGGGGCTCACTCACTTCTTTCTCCAGGGACACAGGTTCAGGTCTGGTTACTGTGCAGGGACCCACTTCCCACCTGTCACCGCGGGATCTGGCTTCAGCCCTGCGTACCGCTGTCTTCTATGTCTGGCCCACTGTGACGCTTACCTTGTTTTTGAGCCCAGTTATTTCTTCTTGGAGTCTTTCTCTTTTTAAAACTATTCTTGCTATGTAGAATGGGAGAATTTCCTGTGTCATCTGACCAGAGGTGCGAGGTTCTGAAAGTGGGTATTCTATACCGCTATTCTAAAGCAGGTGCCTAAAGGGTCAGGGTACTTGGAAAATCTGTCCTCTGATGAAGTAAGACTTGGGAGTGGCACACTGGCTGGCTTTTACTGTATGTTGCCACCCACTCATAGCCAAGGCGAGAACGGGAAGCAACGCAGGGAACGTCTCGGCTGTGCCTCCGCGTGGCTGACGCAACTGTTCTTCACTTGCGGGTGAGTTGCTCCACCTCTGGTGTCCCCGTCAGTGAGGGAGGGTCAGTGTCCTGTCCGCAACACGCCCTTACACGCGGCCTTGGAGAAAAGCGAGCCTCCACGGAGACATCTCGTCAGGAATAACTATGCTTCTCTTAGGCCCTCAGACGTAGGGGCCAAGAACAGTGAGTCATAACAGATGTTTCCCAGAACTGGCTTTAGGATGCTCACGTCAAAGAACACCAGCAGCCTTTATTCTCCCGATCTGTCTTTAACTTGTTCCCCGCCCTTACTTTAAAATAGGGTCCAGAAAACTAAAGTATTATTGCATTGTATGAATTTGCTTAAGTTATGCTAAAATCCTTTTTGCAAGAAGGCCTCACCTTACTTTCCCAGCTGGACGGGGTGGAGGCTGTCAGCACGCTGCGACTCCCGTATGGAGCTGTTAATGCCATACACACGCACAGCCCTGTCCTCCGTCAGCCTCCCACCCCCTTGGGAGGCCGGACCCGGGCCGACGCAGGCCAGGAGCCCCGGAGCGTACCCGCTGGTGCTCAACTTACTCATCACCCCCCTCCCCTCCCCGCTTTCCCTCCATCACCACGTACCTGCCCATCTCCC